GAATGGCGCTTACACATCTTGATGGGTTCCGCACACTCGTCATCACAAGAGACCTTAACATCCATTACAACATCTGGAGGTGTGCATGCACCGTCTTCTTCACTGGCTGAATCCTCGGTCATATCAACCCGAAAAAAAAGATGAAATTAGTTGAAACACAACTCAAGCCCTAGAAGTTAGCGGATACCCTAACATTTTTAGCGACCGTATCTCCATTGTCGACATCCATATCTTTGCTCTCCTTTTCAGACCCGTGTGTGCCGCGGTCCGTGTCCAGCTCGAATGTGTCCTTGACAGCATTCATGGATCCGATATTCATATCTGTGCTATCACTCTCCAAAGTGCCCTTTTCTTCAGTGACCCTCCTCGGTGTTCGTCCCTTCTCGTCCACTCCGTTTTCCATTTTTTACAATCAAATGGACAGGAGCGACTATAGTCTGTGTGATTTTAATAAGATAAAGGCAGTTGCAAAATAATAAAAATAAAGATTATGAAAAAAAACAAGGGAGATGAGATACTTTGACATCGACAGTTCAAATAACGATAATCACTAAAGTAGAAAAAAAGATATGAATTGATAATGCAGCTTTACGACACAAATGCGCAAGGAATTGTCACAAACGGTTTCTCCAATTTTCTGTTTCTTTGAAATCACATGTACGTGGCAATTATCCGCTTCTGCTTATGATTTATACAAACTCCATTCCTTCATTCACAAGAAAGAAAAAACATGCTGAAAGTAAGTTAACACGGCGAAGTAGCACAGCTTCTAGCGTTGGGAGGAAAAAAGAGAAAGAAAAAGTCAACACCTTACAATACAACGAAATCCGAGTGGCGAACAAATGAGCGAACACAAAGGGGTGAGGAGAGCCACCACGTTACTGAACACTATGATCTTCAAAATAGAACTATGCACTTTATGAAACAAATTACTAGCATTATTCAAATTACAAAAAGCCTACAACTAAACGCTCACCGGAGAGCGAATTTCAATCATTATCATCTCACTTCAATTACAAAACTCACCGCACCCTACGTCAACTCACTTCGCGCGCCGCGTACTATACAAGTACGAAAGCAAGAGACGACTGAACAAATTCAGAGTGTTTGCAAAGCAATGGTACAAAAAAGAAAAGACAATCAACAGAGTAAGTTAGTTCTGTACAGCTTGTTTCACCGGTGATGGCGTTTGAATGGGTGTGTAGACGCGAAGGGAATTTGAACACAGAGGATGCACAAAAATAACCTCCTTTCGAAAACAATGCGAAGGTGTTTCTTCAAAATATGGTAGCATCCGTAACCCGATAAAGTCATTCTAGTTGTCGAGAGCCACCGATATGATTTGTGAAACTGACTATACAACATCAGACCATACCAAAGTGGAACTCGGGCGATGAAAACAGACAAAATTGAGAATCCAGAACTATCAAACACCGAATTTGTGAGAAATTTACAAATGAAATGGGATGAGTGCGAAGAATACAATAGGCATATAAATATGAACACGTTTTAGAGCTGAAGGTGAACCGTAACTTGCTCCGTAAAATCGCTGACATTCTTCAATGCCTTATCGCCTTGACAGGCAAGCGGCGCAAATTTTCTTAGGTTTTAATATTTCACATTTCAGACCCATCCTAGAGTTAGTTATGAATAACTATAGCTTTCTCTGCAGCATGTGATCCACGAGCTCCACGAGACTTGTTCATGTGATCGAGGCCAAGATATGGCGATGTTGCTAGTGCTAAATAAGCTCAAACTCATTACACTGAGATAGATTCTGAAAATAAGTCTACCGTACTTATTAATATTTGATGACTTACATGCGACATGAGCATGACCAAGCTCAGCCAGGTTCACCCTCCCATTCGAAGTCATGTCAAGATACCTCACAACCCTAGAGGACGAGATTAGCGCAAATTTATACTTCTCGTACTCCTTCTCCGGAATTTCTAGTCTAGCTTGGATACGCTCTCGAACGCTGGACAGTAACTCGTCATTAGAGACCTGAAGAATGCAAAATCAATGAAAAGCTATGAACTTCCACTAACTGCTACTGTATATCGAGAAGGCTGCAGCGTACCTTTAAGAAGAATGGAACGCCAAACATTCGTCCTGGATCCTTATCAAAATGAGCGATCGGCACAAGATACTCGTTATTTCTGACTACAAGTTGATCTTGTGGTACTTCTTCAACGCGCCCCTGAAGTATGATACAGTGACACAAAAATTGAGCTCAAAGAAAAGATGAAAGCAAACAAGAATGGGTCTTGCCTAGCAAAGTAGCTCACCATGTACATCGATGGCGTCATCGTCTTTTGGAAGACTTCCATCACTGAAGTTTCCTCTTTGAAG